GACTACAAAATTATAAAGTAGCATAACTACAAAGGTAGTAACCTTAAGGAACCAGCTCAATGTAAAATTCAAAATAAGAATGTCAGAAAATTACTCTATATGGTCAGAGAGACTAAAATTCTTAATTTAAAAATGAATATATTCCTAGTACTCAAGCACCTCATATAAATGAAACAATTTAAAGCATGGTAATACTCTAGAACAGTGGTCAGCAAACTGTGGCTCGAGAGCCACATGCGGCTCTTTGGCCCCTTGAATGTGGCTCTTCCACAAAATACCACGTGCGGGTGCACATGTACAGTGCGACTGAAACTTCATGGCCCATGCGCAGAAGTCGGTATTTTGTGGAAGAGCCACACTTGAGGGGCCAAAGAGCCGCATGTGGACTGTGAGCCGCAGTTTGCCGACCACTGCTCTAGAATATTGTTCTGTATAATAAAGACCAGATGGAAATTCTGCAATTCATGTTGTATGTATTTTACTTTTGATAAATAATTTAAATATTTAAAAATCTGGTACATTCATTCCCCTGAATTTTTACTTCTTTCTTTTATAAGTTTTTAGACTCCTTGGAAATAGAGTTTAAAATTTTTTGCCTCTACTGATGCAAAGCAAAAGTTCTTTCTAAACTGCTACTGAAAATAATAATCAGTTGCTGTGTACCCTTAATTTGACTAACATCAGGAATAAACAACCAGGGTTAGGATGTATTCTTTTTGTTAGAGGTACATTTTGTTATTTTTTAAAATATATTTTATTGATTTTTTACAGAGAGGAAGGGAGAGGGATAGAGTTAGAAACATCGATGAGAGAGAAACATCTATCAGCTGCCTCCTGCACACCTCCTACTGCGGATGTGCCCACAACCAAGGTACATGCCCTTGACTGGAATTGAACCTGGGACCCTTGAGTCCGCAGGCTGACACTCTATCCACTGAGCCAAACCGGTTAGGGCTAGAGGTACATTTTAAAAAGTGACTTCAAATTTTTTAAAGGCAGCATAAGAGTTCCTCATAACCTTTCTTCTTTATAATAGAAATCTATAACTAAAGGGATTGGTTTTATAAACCAGCGCTCAACTAGGTTCAATGAAATATGTGACAGATTATACAGGATAGGGGCAAAAGGAGGTTCACAGTTGTTTGTATGGAAAATACAATCTATATCTATATATATAAAAGGCTAATATGCAAAGTGTCCCCTTGGGAGTTCAATCGGGAGTTCTATCGCTCGCTATGATGTGTGCTGACCACCAGGGGGAGGTGCGGAATGAAGGAAGGCCCTGGCCGGCAGCTGGAAGGCCCCCGTTTGGCCTTGTTTGCTGGCCAGGCCTAGGGCCTCTAGTAATAACTGATACAAGAATAAACATGGTGCTTTGAATATTCACAACTGTAAACCTATTTTTGCCCCACTCTGTATATATATATATCAAGTCAGCCTTTACTGCAAATGTATAAATTCATCCTTGTAGCTACTGTTTCCATTTTGTTCAAGAGATTTCCAGAGAACTAATAAAAGACTTAAGTCCTCAAAAGGTAATTAATCCCTTCAATACATGTGCAAAATATCTAAGACAGGAAAAACATTAGGCTTTCAGCACAAGGGTAAGCCATGATAAGTACTCCTGTTTATTGGAAGACTTGTTCAAGGTTATAATGAATGATTACATTAGCCAAAATGTCTCTTTCTTAATTTCTAAAAGAAATTCAATTTGAAAAGGTAAAAAGTAAAACTTGAGCCTAATCTCTAAGACCTAGCACAGAGTCCTCAAAAATGATAGTAGGGGGGAAAAAATCAAGGTATTATTTAGTCACAACCTTATACAGCCTTACAAAGTTTAAGAAAGGTCAATCTTTATTAAGTTTTTCTAGACTGAACACGTGACATCATTGTCATGATGGAAAAAAACAGCTTTTGAATATTTAGTTCATAAATACTAAACTATTCCTGGAGGCAGTTAAATCTAGACATTACAGATCAATATCCACCCTCTTATCAATACACACTCAAGAAAACATTATTTTAAGTCCTAAAGAAAACTTGAGTGCATATCAGTAAGATCTTGATAAGATCTTGATATTCGATAATAAATTTGTCTATTTAAACTACACTTGGGGGGGGGGCACCTTTGTAAAATCAGCCAAATTCTCTTGGTATCAGATCCAGTTTCACTGATTAATTTTACTCCCTTTACAGATATTTATCAAGCACCTACAACTAAAAGACAAAGAAAACTGAACATGAACAGTTTCTCATCCAAATCTTAAGACTTTATATTTAAAACAACATGTATAATTAGCATGTTATCAATCTATGCACAGGCCTACCAACCTGGAATTAAACTGTAAGATACATTTAATAAGATTCTTATATACATGGATCAAGGTTTTTTTATGATCACTTCTTTATTACACTTGGCTAGGTCCTCCTTACAAGACAGCTCCTTACTATAGGGGCTCACCTTCCGTTTATGTAACTAAGAGAAAATACCGAAATTCTATAGTAAACACTTGTTTCCCAAAGCCATTGAGGAAATGTTTCTTTTTGAAGGAATACAAGGCTCTCTTTCAAATATCCTCTCTTGAAATGTTCATTACAACTAATTCCTAAATCTAAATGCTAAATAGTTGTGCACAGCAAGGTTATAGGAACTAAGAATACAGTGGAGAATGAAAGGAATAAAGTCCCTACCCTCATGGTGCTTACATTTAACAAACTGGTATTCTCTACGGGCAAGGTATCATGATAGTACTTTGGGACATAAAAGGAACACATCCTGTCCTTGGAGTTTACAATTTAGTGGAATAAGTAACAAAAATACACATAAAGATAACAGAAGATAGGAAGTGATATGTGTCATAGACCGGAAAAGAGATGACTTTTTAGGTGGGGGTGGGGGAGGCAAAAGACAAGAGCTTTCCTTTTTATGTCCCATACCACATTTAAAAATTACGCCAATTTATTATTAGGCTTTTTGGTTGTATCCTGGTACATGACATGTTACAATCGAACTAGCTATATGTATTTCCAAGATTTACTTTGGGGATTCCTCAGATAGGGCAGCCTCACAATTTATTGTGAATGCCAAACGAGAAATGGCAGGAAAAAACACTGTGTAGTGCAGAGATTTAAAGCGCGGATGGGTTCAAATAAAACTATCATTCAGGGCTCTGTGTCTTTAAACTTATTCAATTTCCTGAGTGGCAATGTCCTCTCTTAATGCGTGGGAATTCAATCACCCAAGTGGTGCTTCCACACTATTTGACTGAGGCACCCACCTTTTCTTGGGTGTGATGGGAATGCTATTCTCTGTAAAATGTGAAAACGTCCCATTTCTTCCTCTAGGTTCCCTATTAGGGATAGACTTCTGTCCTAAAAGTCAGCAGGACCACTAACTAGTTATCTTTCCCAGGCCTCAGTTTCCTCCTCCATAAAAATGACAGGGTGGGACTGGATGATCTCAATAGTTCTTTCCGGGCCTTAAAAGAAAGTCCCATGACTCTATTATGACTCAAATACTATTCAAAGAGTCAGCTTTTGGGAGCGATATGAACTTGGAAGTTAAATGAACGGCTTCCCTTTTTGTAAGTTACTTCTCACTAAGGTAAGGTTCTGTTGAGCAAGTCCAAACAGCATTTTAATTACCAAAAAAAAGGGGGGGGGGTGTTAAAAATAAATTTACAAGAAGCTTTAAGTTACAACACTCCATAGATGTTACATACCACGAGCAAAACTAAAATCCGGTTGGACTGAATTAATTCCAAAATACTAAAATCAACCTTCAGTGTCAACTTTCTACCCCGTTAAAAAAAATGTGATTTCCCGTTACTGTAAAACAGAACTGCTTAGGCTCAGAAGAAACAGGGCAAACATGTTTTTTCCCCCCAAACTAATAGAGAGAATGGGAAAGCAAACCATCTGCGTAAACTAGCAAGGATGACTTCTCCGAAAGCCATCAGTTTGTGTGTGTGTGTGTGTTCCCCCCATAGGAAAAATTCGGGAGGCCCGGTTCACTGCGGGGTAGTTTTAAATAAAATCCAAGGCGCTGACAGCCAGTTTTCGGATGAGACACATCGCGATGGCGAAAAAGAGGACAAACTTCCTGGATTTCCTCTCCCCGTTGCTGACGAAGGGAAAGGCCCCTTTAACAGCTTCTCCCTGCGCGGCGGCGGCTGCCAGACTAGGTGGGGCTCCCTCCGCGGCCGCCCTCCTGCCACTTCCCGCAACAAACGGCGCGGACCAGCCCCGTTCCAGGCAAACTTTTTCCCTGTCAGGCTCGAGCCCGCGGGGCGCCGGGGAGTGGTTTCCCCCGAACGGCCCTCGTCCGGGCTCCAGGCTGGGGGAAGCCGAGTCTCCGCAAAAGACAACTTTCTGGTCTCCGTTCTAACTTCCACCCACACCCGGGAGGGACCGAGGCGGCCAGCGCGGGGGCTCGGGGGCGGGCACGAGTCCTCCGGGAGCCGGCT